GCGTGATACCTCACGCGTTCCGGAGAGTTCAAATAGTTGTATCCCTGAGCCTTAGCAAGGCGATAGAAGGGTTATATTGAAGTAGCGTCCCCGCGTTGTTTTTCGGGTTTCCTGTGCCACTACTGTAGTTTCGACCGTTAAAGCCGTAGTTAAAGGCGCAAAAACCAGGATTGTATTTCAATAAAAGAAAATTTTACTAGAATAATCAAAAATTAAGAAGCAGGAATAATATAACCAAATAATAAAAGGTTCTCAAATCGACAATAAAATGCAAACGAATTTGGAAACTCTTGTCATGTACATACAAAAGATTCGTAAACGCCATCAATTGAAGCGTGATACCTCACGCGTTCCGGAGAGTTCAAATAGTTGTATCCCTGCGCCTTAGCAAGGCGATAGAAGCTTAAGATTGAAGAAGCGTCCCCGCGTTGTTTTTCGGTTTTCCTGTGCCACTATTGTAGTTTCGACCGTTAAGGACGCAGTTAAAGGGCCCGGAAGCCAGGATTGTATCTCGCAAAAAGAAAATTTTACCATAATAATTAAAAATTAAGAAGCAAGAATATTTTAACTAGATAATAGAAGGAACTCAAATCTTCAATATAATGCAAAACGATTTAGAAAATCTCGTCGTGTAAATACATAAGATTCGTAAACGCCTTCAATTGAAGCGTGATACCTATCGCGTTCCGGAGAGTTCAAATAGTTGTATCCCTGCGCCTTAGGAAGGCGATAGAAGGGTTATATTGAAGTAGCGTCCCCGCGTTGTTTTTCGGATTTCCTGTGTCACCACTGTAGTTTCGATTGTTCAAGCCGTAGTTTAAAGGCGCAAAAAACAGGATTGTATTTCGCATAAAGAAAATTTTACCAGAATAATTTAAACTTAAGAAGCAGGAATTTTTTAAGTAAATAATATAGGATCTCAAATCGACAATAATATGCAAAACAATTTGGATAATCTCGTCGTGTAAATACATAAAATTCGTAAACGCCTTCAATTCAAGCGTGATACCTTACGCGTTCCGGAGTGTTCAAATAGTTGTAACCCTGCGCCTTAGCAAGGCGTTGGATGTTTAATATTGAAGTAGCGTCACCGCGTTCTTTTTCGGTTTTCCTGTGCCACAACTGTAGTTTCGACCGTTAAGGACGTAGTTTAACGGCCCGGAAGCCAGGATTATATTTCGCAAAAAGAAAATTTTACCATAATAATTAAAAATTAGGAAGCGGGAATATTTTAACTAGCTAATAAAAGGAACTCAAATCTACAATATAATGCAAAACAATTTGGAAAATCTCGTCGTGTAAATACATAAGATTCGTAAACGCCTTCAATTCAAGCGTGATACCTCACGCGTTCCGGAGAGTTCAAGTAATTATATCCGTGAGCCTTAGGAAGGCGATGGATGTTTAATATTGAAGTAGCGTCCCCGTAGGATTTTGCGGTTTCCTGTACCGTTCTGGCCGTAGTTTGAAGGTGCAAAAACCAGGATTGTATTCCGCAAAAAAAAAATTTACCAAAATAATTAAAAATTAAGAAGCAGGATTATTTTAACTAAATAATAAATGGAACTCAAATCTACAATATAATGCAATACAATTTGAAAAATCTCGTCGTGTAAATACGTAAGATTTGTAAACGCCTTCAATTGAAGTGTGATACCTCACGCGCACCGGGGAGTTCAAATAGTTGTATCCCTGCGCCTCAGCAAGGCGATGGAAGCTAAACATTGAAGTAGCGTCCTCGCGTTGTTTTTCGGTTTTCCTGTGCCGTCACTGTAGTTTCGATCGTTAATTCCGTTGTTTAAGGGCGCGAACGCTAGGCTTGTATTTCGCGAAATGAAGTTTTTACCAGAAGAATTAAAATTAAGAAGCAGGAATATTTTAACTAAATAATATAAGGCACTCAAATCTACAATATAATGCAAAACAAGTTGGAAAATCTCGTCATTTAAATACATAAGATTCGTAAACGCTTTCAATTGAAGCGTGATACCTCACGCGTTCCGGAGAGTTCAAATAGTTGTATCCTTGCGCCTTAGGAAGGCGATGGAAGCAAAATATTGAAGTAGCGTCCCCGCGTTGTTTTTCAGCTTTCCTGTGCTGCAGGGGCGGACTGGCTAGGGGGCGGGGAGGAGATCGCCCCCTAACAATTTGCCTTGGAGGTCCCGAAGGGGCCCCCGCGACCAATTTTTTAGGAGTCACCGTTTTTTCCCTGTAATGTTGTAATATTCTTATCCTTGTCAATCACTAGAAGGCCCCGAATTCCTTGAAAATGTATCTCTATGAGACATGGAAGGTCGCCAAAAGCATTTTTGATGAAGGGACCCCCGATGAATCCTGAGAATGGGTTATTTTGAAGTTCAAGTACTGTAGAATCCGACTCCAATAATGCCTACGTGTTAAAATATGTGTGAATGGGTTATTTTGAAGTTCAAGTACTGTAGAATCCGACTCCAATAATGCCTACGTGTTAAAATATGTGTGAAATTTTCAAAATTTATCGGGGGAGGGCCCCCGGACCTTTTTAGAGGGGCCCCCGAACGACAGGATGGGCCCTTACATCTAGATCTCCTCCTAACTTTTCGACTACCAGTACGCCCCTGATGGAAATGGTCATTGAAGGACACACTTTTCTTGAAAACGATTGTCATTCGTAACTTCTTTCCCCTCGTGAACCTCGAAAGAAAGATCTCCTTGCCAATGGACCACTAGACAAATACGAATTTAAGCAATCTGATACATGTTTCTTAACCAGAATTTCACATAAAACGCAATTCACACAACTAAAATTACTGAAACCAACTTTTAACGGAGATATTATAACGTTTTTATTACCCATTGGTTACGAGGAAATTTGAACTGCCCGCTCACAAGAAACTCAATGCTCTACGTGAATCAAATCGCGCACTAAAACGGTTTCAGAAAGCTTCTCAACCGAGCAATGTTCATTTCTCACCATGTGTTGTTCAAACTACAAGCAATTTGCTATGGCTCCGCCAAAGTGGCAAGATAGAGGTTGCCAGATTTTTATATCGCAAAGACTGTCATGATAACGTTTAGCGCGCGATGTGAATCACGTAGAGCATCGAGTTTTCATGAGCAGATGGTTTGAATCCACGCATTAAACATCATTAAATATCTTCGTAATGTATTGATTTCGGTAATTTTCGTTGTGCGCATCGTGTTCTACGTGAAATTTTGGTTAAGAAACATGTATCAGAATGCTGAAATTCGTACCTTGTCTAGTGGTCCATTAAGGCAGCGCCCATTAAAAAATATGTCTGATTATGTCGGTAATAATCCAATGAAGCACTTTGTTAAATTCTCAGGCAAAAAACCTTTTGAAGTGCGAATTTAAGCACTATGATGCACGTTTTCTCGTCAATATTTCACGTAACATGCGTTTTGTGCAACGAAAAGTATTGAAAGTAACGTTTGTTTGCCCGTCTCAAATAACTGACTAACGCTCATAAGTGTTGATTATGCTTGCAACTTAAAAGTGGAAATCAAGCGTGCAACTATTCGGACTCGGGAGTAGGTATGTGGTATCGCGTGGAAATGAAGGAAAATCTTGACTTTTCATCTGTCTTAATGAATGTAGGCATCATGCTCGCTGCACTACGAGCCTGCAATCCTGGGATCGAAGGATCGTGGAGATTCTATACCCCCGATAATGTGCCTCAGTCTACAGAAACCGAAAATTGAGTTTTTGATTTCAGAGTCCATATGAGTTTTCTACGAACAATGAGGCTCTATGGAGGAATATTTGGACCGCGTTAAACAGAAAGGAACCAAGCCAAATCAGCTATTGCCATTCAACTTAGTTCATTTTCTTGGATAGAACTTGATGCGATTCAAGGTATTTCTGTTGAACTCGAACTCGTCTCGGTCCAAAATAATCTACCGTATTTTCCCAATTTTTAAATGTACAAGCCAGCGTAGAAGCCTTGATTTCTTTATATACTTATTGCATAATAAATGTAAAATAATCAAGGCCTCTACGCTAGCTGATATAAAGGATGAAAAAAGGTATATACTTACATTTTTTTTATCTAAGTACTTGAAAATACACTTAAAAAGCGAACATTTTTACACAAATGGCATTTTTACAAATTAATAAATTATTTCAAACGTATGGAAATTGGCTCTCCTGCCATAGAATCCAAATAAATTTGATTGCAATTTGCATAAAGGAACCAAGAGTGTTCCACTGTCGCTCAGATATTGTGCAACTTTTTTTTACTTTGCAAATATAAACTGATCATCCAAACAAGTTTTACCTTTACTCTCAATAAACTGTAAATTCAAGACGAAACCTCTGTAAATTAATATTAAGCACGATTTTAATGATTTGATCGCTAAGAACGTAAGTTGCACAATCCTAGTAACATTGGAATGCTCTTGGTTCCTTGTTGCAAAATGCAATCCAGTAATGGAGATGTTGCATGTGTGAGGAATTTGCGATTTGACTGTTGATTCTTAAGTAAAAGTTCGCGAGAAACACGATGGTGCAACTGGTTTTCTCTGAAATCATCTCCCAAGCTCAAAAAAAGCTCTCAAAGTGAGGCCAAAATGGAGGGGATATCCCACGCTATCCTGAGAGTCCACCTCTACATCAAGACAAACTCTCTATGCAAAGATAGGGAGAAATTACATTAGCAGGGTTCCCGTGTTTTCAGTTTTGGAGTCCCCAAATGAAGTGGCAGCCCTGTCAATGTATTTGCTCCCTATCTTTGTGTGGAGAGTTTGTTTTGATGTAGAGGTGGACTCTCAGGGTAGGGTGGGATATCCCTTCCATTTTGGCTTCACTTTGAGAGCTTTTTTTGAGCTTGGGAGTTGATTTCAGAGAAAACCAGTGGCACCATCGTGTTTCTCGCGAACTTTTACATTAGAATCAACAGTCAAATCGCAAATTCCTCACACATGCAACATCTCCATTGCTGTTGTGAGAAGTGACCCCTTAGTTCACCGCTATCTACCCTCTTCCTCTCTTCTTTTTCCAGCTTGTCCTCGATGCCTTGGCTCTCGACGACTTGGCCCTCGACGCATTGGCCCTCGGCGAATTGGTACTCGATCGAGTGCCACTGGCCACACGCGATATATTTTTCAGCGGTGGCCAAAGCTCACAAGTTGACTCCCCTTTAAAAACGGTGTAATTATAAAAACCGTAGACCTCATTTTCCGCCCTCACAACCAGCCGTAGATCAACTTTATCCTTCAAGCCTCGAAACTCCTTGAATACATACGAGAGAGTGCCTCTCATATCCCAATTGAGACTGTCCAAGCACTCCGGACCTGTCTGTAAATGAAACGAAATTCCCGCCGAATCGCCCTTTCGTCGAGCAAAAATGGCATACTTGGATATCGGATCCGAGTATCTCTCTATGCGAGACATCACGAATTCCTCACTGCTCAGCAGAGGGTATGAGGGTATAATAAGGCAGCTTGCAGGAAAAGTTCACCAACTGGCGCCAAATCTCGGAATAGGGTTTGCACCGTCCGCACGAGAGTATGTAGTGTCGACGCGTTGGCGTTTAACTGATCCAATGACGTCACAAAGTTCCTTTCATTCTCGGTAGTGTACTGGTACCGTGAATGCAGGTAATCACTAGTGTAGAACTCGTCCATGGCGACTGTCTGGACCTCGAAATTCGGGGAGGAGATAGTGTAGGTAACACCGTGCTTCTCTTCGATCGTAAAATAACCGGTTTCCAACAACAACTGGAATAGAAGTGGGTCTTTTGAAGTTTCAGGGGAAAGTAAAGATTTCTTGAGGCGCAGTAAATCAACCTTCTTCATGGGACCTTTTACATCGATTTGGCAGTATCTTAGTATGCACTCCTCCAAACCTAGTCCCCATTTTTCAACCCCTAGAAGCGGTCGAAACTTCTGTATGAGACTTCCGCTGGCCCAACACCGGTCCACCGCTCTCCTACGCAGTGAATGAAGAACTGACTGAGTATTGTAGATCTTCGAATCCGAAGAATTAGACGCTCGAATCGTCCCAAATGTGTCCTTCAAATTTTCGAACACGTTGTATCCTCGATAATACAACCTCAAAATGTCCATCTCGGATGGAGCGACGGCGAACCGGTTTTGCAATTCGTCGATATCGGTTTCCTGGAAACCGTACGCCGAATACAGCTCTTTCGATTCAAAGATCGTCAGGTATTTGAGATTTGAAATTTGTTCTAGTTTGAGATTCACGCAACCAGTCAGTATAGCGCGGAATGTATCGTGATTGTGTTTGATCATTTCGGCCAAGAATGAGCCTAGGAATTGCAAAATTGCCTCGGTGTCTATTTCTGGGACACCCGTGTCCAGAAGTGCCGACACGAAGGGGGAGTCATACTCGTCTATGAGGAGTATCGGTTTCGTACCATGGTGCTGGAACAAGAGGCCAGCTAGGTCTGCACCGAATTCTTGAAGCTCCTCTTTGGTCCAATTATAGCCTTTCACGAATCTCGACCGTTCGGTTTTACTGATCGATCTAACATCGGTGCTGTTCAGTAGATAACCGAATTTCACCACCAGCGGATCTATGCAATGCTCGACGAAACTTTTTAAAAAATTATCGAAGTTTTTCGCTTTCACGACCTCGCTTTGATCGATGTGGATGATGGGGTATTTGGCAAAATGCTGCCAGAAGAATTTCTCGTCGGTGAAGATTTTTTTGTCTTTGAAAGTTTGGAGCTTTTTTGAGAGTTTTGGATCCTTCGCGCTGTGAGTTGCGTCTAGTTCGTGCTCGAAGAAGGATTTCAGCATGTTCAGATTAGTGGTTTTTGAGAAACCCCTAGGGCCTGTGATGGCGGAATACTTTGGTAGGTCAAGTGCATTTCGTATGAACCAGGTTTTATCGATGTAAGATGATGATTGAACTGTTTTTTCGAAATCCTCGCGTTCGATCATTGTGCTTTCGACCGGAGGAGAGAAGTTTTCCGAAATACCAAAGTACATAGCGTGTGTGACGTTCGTGGAGTTAGCGGTGGTTTTGCCAGTCGTGTGCTCTTGTGGAACCGTAACAACGGTTTTGCTGGTCGTTTGCACGTGTGAAACCGAGGTCAGGGATTTGCTGGTTGTGCGCTCCTGTGAAACCGCATAAAAAATGTTTTTATACCTTAAAAAATACGATTTATTTGTCGTGGGCGGGCGGTCAGCGCGAAACGCGCATTGGCGCCTACAAACCTAAGTGGATACTTCAAGCATTGTGCAATGCGCGAAGTATCCACTTAGGTTTGTAGGCGCCAGCGAGCCTCTCACGCTGGCAGCACGCCACGTAGATGAAATGTTCGCTGGAATCGAATATAGTTTGATGAGGCAGATAATTCGGTTTAATTGGTCCCTACAGCACTCACTCAAGAAAATTCATCCGAAAACTTGTCAACATGGAATTCGTCACCTACCGGCCAAAGTATCACAAGCGCTATGCGTTGTTCAGTGACACGGTTTTTTGACACAGCTTTTCCACAAGGCAGTATACAACTGATTTTGTACCAGCTATTTCAGCTTGAAGTGTCCTAACATTAGGAAGAATAATTTAGGTTTTAGGGGTCTTATTTTTCTTCCAATTGTAAAGAATATCCTTTCATATTAAATTTTTTAGAGATACATGATGGATAGGCATGCGTACGAAGATTGGACTTACCGAGTTATAACCTCCAAATGCGCAAAATAAAAGACCTATCAGGTTAAGTCCTATTAAATGAGACGCCATGGTAGGTTTCCAAAAAAATCAGCGTAACAGTGAATAGAATACAATATCCGCAAAAGTAATTAATATTTCATTTAAAAGGAAAGCACTTATTTGATGATATTTCATCTTTCGACTACACCTCGCACTTCAATCTGTGAATACTGGATTTTTTAAAGTATCAAGTATTCTCACATGTACTTTAAAATAAAAAAGGAAATAGTAATATCTAGAAGAAATAAGGTACCGAAAACGTAAAATATCGATTTAAATTTAAGAAGAATTTTTATTATTTTACAATAAAATGATACATTTTTTCGGCCGCGTGTAGCATGACTTTCATTGACTACAAATTAAACTGACGTATACAGCATATGATTTTAATGACCAAAATATCATTGCCTGATAAAACTGGAATTGAATGTTACCTCGATGATGTCATACTTTTTCTTCTCTGTCTCTCTTTTCTGTCTTACAACACGGACTTTTGACTTATGCATTGATTTTGAACAAGATGCTCAAATCATGTTCCTTAATTAATTTTAACCGGAGTCGGAATTTCTTGAAAATAGGTCAAATTTGACCTTTCACCTACAGATCGGACAAAGACATTGATCTGCGGTTTGCGCCAAAATTCTTAGTTTTCAGTGGTCATTCCAATTCTGTATCATAAGATAAGGGTCACTATTTCAAAAGAAAAACTAGTTGCCTCCCCCTTCAGAGAGAGGCCAAAAATTTGCCCCCCCCCCCCCCCCCCCCCCCNCCCCCCGAAGATAGTCTCTTTTCCGATAAAAACATTCCCAAAGTTTCGTTTTTCTATCTCGAACGGTTCAAAAGTTACAGGGGAAGGGGGACTTTTGAAACACTCTATAAGTGTGTACTACGAGAATTCAAACTGAGAGAGTACCCTTAGATCTTTTTCGATAAATTACTAACAAGATTTTTTATTTATTATTTCTTGCTCTGTGATGGGACTTTTGCCACAGTGCATCCGCAGAAACAACCGAATAAGCTAGTTGAGAAATGTTCAACTCCGCGAGTTTGAACTATCGCGCCAAACTTAATGCGGTCCGCGTAACATGCGTATTAGCGCCTACAAGACTGCAAGAATACTTCAAGCATTGCGCAAAACACAGTGCGGTCGGCGGCGGCGCGCCGCGCCGCGCATGGCGGTCGACGTAGGACGCATTATAGCGCCTACTAGACAGTAGGAATACTTCAAGCATTGCGCGTTCACCACGGTGCGGCGCACTATAGTCCAGAACTCAAAAATAGGAAGAAATAAGTCGGTCAATGGCTGAAAGATCACGGAAATTCCGACACCTTGGTTAGTTGAGTCGCTGATTTTGAATTTGACGTCAAATTGCCAACATTTTAACACCCTGACCGATTAATTGCGGTTTTTTTTTTTTCAAATCATTGAGGAAATCAATACACCGGGCAAGCTCATAGGCGGATAAAGATTGTTAAAAAAGCATCAGTACTCAAATTTGTTACCTATGCATTATGGACCCACATTTGCACAACAATGACATAGTGATAACAATGTTTTCCCTGGACCGAGGGGGGGGGGGGGGGTTCCCCNGGGGGGGTTTCCCCCTTGTATGGAATGTATGGGTTAATCCCTGCTGCTAGCTGCATTTCCCTCAAATATTTTTGGCAAAAACCTAAATTACCTCCGCCTATCTAGCATTACATGACTGATAATTCCACCTAAACAATTTGCCTACCAGGTCTACAAATTTTTTTTAGAATCAATTCAAACTTCTGGAAATTTTGTAATCTCATGATCATTGTTTGAAATGTATGCGTGTGTACGCAATACATGTCCGCGGAGCTCGTATACTTGAATCCAGTCGTTGTAATAAAATTCGTTTTAACGTAAAGTACCGTGAATTTTGTTGGTAAAGTAAAATTTGACATAAATTTGACAATAGTTTTTACTTTTTTATGACTTTCCCGGACACGCCTCCGTCTAACACGTCGTGACGCATTCATTGATTTCAAATAAAACTGACGTATACATCATGTGACTCCGATGGCCTAGAGATCATTTGTTGATAAGACTGGAATTGAATATTACCTCATCATCGATGCCATTCAGTGACGAGTCATGAATGATCGATTATCGATATCACCCTAGTTGAAGCTATGGCAAATAATTGATTATTAAGGTGTTCGGTGCGAACATCCTGCCTATTCTGCCATGCTAACGAAGAACGCCGTATGAACATTCCAGAGTCG